ATATAGCACTCATACAAGTTGATTACCAAAGTATTTGCTTAATGAGAGACTTTAATGCAACTGTAGACCAAAAAAAAAAAAAAAGAATTATAAGAGTGGTAGTAAAGGAAAGAGAGGAAGAAAAATACTTCCAAAATCCTTTTTTAAACTAACAGAGGAATTTAGATTTATTGATGTTTGGAGATACAAAAATACATCTACAAATAAATATACTTTTTACTCAAATAGGCACAGGTCATGGTCTAGAATCGATATGGTGTGGATGATTCCAGACCCAATTGTGGATCTATTAGAAGTTGAAATAGATACTAATGTATGGGCTGATCATAATCCTATAACTATTTTTTGGAAAGGAACACAAAAATTGCCTAGATTGGACATTTAATAAATATATATTGAAAGACAAAAATTTCAAAGAAGAAATAACAAGGAAAATGGATTTTTTCTTTCACGAAAACAAAATAGAAGAAACTTCCCTACACAATGTTTGGTATACAGCTAAAGCATATGTTGAAGAATTGATTATAACTTATACAGAAAAAATAAAAGGAAAAAAACAAGAACAACTTAAATTAACAGATGAACCAAAGAAGTTGGAATTTGACTTACAAAAGAATCCATTAAAAAAACTTAAGATGCAGATGAATATTTTAAAACATAAATTGAATCTATTAGAAATGAATGAATTAGCTAAACAAGTTAAAATAGCTAAACATTTTTTTTTGAAAATGCAAATAAACCTGGAAGATGGCTAGCATATAAACTAAAGAAGGAAAGAGAAAAGAGGTCAATCTTTAAGTTGAAAGATGGAAAAGAACAACTACATTTACAAAGTATGTTAATAAAGAAAATAATTAAAGATTTCTTCACAAAATTATACCAAGCTAAAGAAGTACCGAGAAGATTGAAGAATACATTAAAAGGAAAATCTACCTAAGCGGCCAGAGAACCTCAAAAAGGTACTAAATGAAGAAATAACAACAACAGAAGTGTAGTAATTAAGAGACAGAAAAATGATAAAACACCTGGTCCAGATGGATTACCAGTGGGGTATTATAAGTGCTTTGAAGAAATCTTAAGTGCACCATTGAAGGACATATGTAATGAAATATTACTAGAAGCCAAAATACCAAATACTTGGACTGAGGCAAATATCACTTTAATATTGAAAGAGGATATGGACTCAACAGAGATTCAAAACTATAGACCAATTTCACTTTTAAATGTGGATTATAAATTTTTCACCTCAATAATTGCGGAAAGGTTGAAGAAATTCTTAGTAGAATTTATACATCCAGATCAAAATGGTTTTCTACCTAAGAGACAAATTAGAGACAATGTGAGGATCATTCTGGATATCCTAGAGTACTATGAAATACATTCTGAAAAACAAATGGCATTATTGTTCTTAGATGCCCAAAAGGCATTTGATAATGTCAATTGGCAATTGTCAATACAGCAACTAAAACAGATGGAATTTGGAGAAAAATTTATAAATGCAATAATAAGCATCTACCAAAAACTGCAAGAATAATAGTCAATTGAGAACTTACAGACTATCAACATTCAAAAATGTACAAGACAAGAATGTTCTCTATCACCATTGCTATTTATACTGACTTGAGAGGTTCTTAACAGAAGTATTAGAAAAGATATGGATATTAAAGGAGCTAAAATTAAAGATGAAAGTTATAAACTCCAAGCTTTTGCAGATGATCTAGTCTTTATTCTGGAGGACCATTTCGAAATGGTGCCTAAATGATTTAAAAAATAGAGGACTATGGAGAAGTCACTGGGATGAAAATAAATAGAGAAAATACTAAACTATTAGTTAAAAATCTTACAACTGAGCAAAAAACAGTCTTGATGGAACAAGTAGATCTCCAGATAGTCAAAAGGAATCAAATTAAAAATGCTTCAAGAGGCTAAAGGAAATGTGAGGTTTGGTCTTCCAGATTGGACGTTGTATTACCAAACATGTGTTTTAATGTGGTTAAAACAATGGATAACTTTAAGAAACAAAAGAATTGTATATCTTGAAGGACATGATTTGCATATGGGGTGTCATGCTTTTCTGTGGTATGAGAAGCGTAAATCTCATGGGTATTTTCAAAATCATAATATTAGAAATTCATTGATTTTGGTTTGGGAAAAATTAAAGACAAAACTTTATACTAAGATATCGAGATGGCTTTCAGCTATGGAAGCCCTTGTATACCCTGTATTGAACTTTAATAAGATTGTGACTTACAATGATATTCTTGATAATGAAGGAAGATTGAAACCAAACAAAGAATTACAAGAACAAGGCATTCAAATGTTGGCTTCAAATGCAAATACAATTGATGCATACTAAAGATTATACAATGTATGGATTTTATATGAAACAGACAGTGTTTGATCAAATAATGTTAAGATCAGATGGAAAAATGTTTAAAAGATTGTATAGTTTTCTCTTAGACATGAAAATGGAAGATGAACAAGTAAAGGAAACAATGATATCATGGGCACAAAATTTTGGATATAATATTGAGTTGCAGAAATGGCAAAAGTTGTGGAAAAGAAATATTAAGATAACCTTGGTAATCTCATATAAAGAAAACCTGTATAAAATGTTTTTATAGATGGTACTTATCACCAAATCTCCTTCATGGATCTTTGCCTTCTCGTGGCGAAGGGGCTTGCGTAGCTCAATGAAGCTATGAGCTATGCTGTGCAGGGCCACCCAAGATGGACAGGTCATAGCAGAGAGCTCTGACAAAACGTGATCCACTGGAGAAGGAAATGGCAACCCACTCCGGTACCTTTGCCATGAAAACCCCATGGACAATACCAAAAGGCAAAAAGATATGACGCCGGAAGATGAGCCCCTCAGGTCGGAAGGTGTCCGATATGCTACTGGGGAAGAGCAGAGGGCTAATACTAGTAGCGCCAGAAAGAATAAAGCGACTGGGTCAAAGCCAAAAGGACACTCAGTTGTGGATGTATCTGGTGGTGAAAGGAGAGTCCGATGCTGCAAAGATCTATACTCCATAGGAACCTGGAATGTAAGATCCATGAATCAAGGCAAGCTGGGTGTGGTCAAACAAGAGATGACAAGGCTGAACATCGACATCTTAGGAATCAGTGAACTAAAATGGACAGGAATGGGTGAATTTAATTCAGATGACCATCAGGTATACTACTGCAGGCAAGAATCCCTCAGAAGAAATGGAGAAGCCTTCATCGTCAATAAAAGAGTAGGAAAAGCAGTACTGGGATACAATCTCCAAAATGACAGAATGATCTCAGTTCGAATCCAAGGCAAACCATTCAACATCACAATAGTCCAAGTCTATGCCCCAACCACTGGTGCTGAAGAGGCTGAAGTTGACCGGTTCTATGAAGGCCTACAGCACCTTCTGGAATTAACACCAAAAAATGATGTCCTTATCATCATGGGGGATTGGAATGCTAAAGTAGGAAGCCAAAAGATAACTGGAATAATAGGCAAGTTTGGCCTTGGAGTACAAAATGAAGCAGGGCACAGGCTGGTAGAATTTTGTCAAGAGAATTCAATGGTCATAGCAAACACTCTTTTCCAACAACCCAAGAGACGAGTCTACACATGGACATCACCAGATGGTCAACACAGCAATCAGATTGACTATGTGCTCTGTAGCCAAAGATGGAGAAGCTCTATACAGTCAGTAAAAACTAAATCAGGAGCTGACTGTGGCTCAGCTCATGAGCTTCTGGTTGCAAAATTTAGGCTTAAATTGAAGAAAGTAGGGAAAAGCACTAGGCCACTCAGGTATGACCTAAATCATATCCCTGATGAATATACAGTAGAGGTGACAAATAGATTTAAGGAATTAGATCTGATAGACAGAGTGCCTGAATAACTATGGATGGAGGTTCACAACATTGTACAAGAGGTAGCAACTAAAGCCATCCCAAAGAAAAAGAAATGCAAGAAAGCAAAATGACAGTCTGAGGAAGCTTTAGAAATAGCTGAGGAAAGAAGGGAAGCAAAAGGCAAGGGCGAAAGAGAAAGATACACCCAACTCAATGCAGAATTCCAGAGAATAGCTAGAAGAGATCAGAATGCCTTCTTAAATGAACAGTGCAAAGAAATAGAAGAAAACAATAGAATAAGGAGAACCAGAGATCTCTTCAAGAAAATTGGAGACATGAAGGGAACATTTCATGCAAAGATGGGCATCATAAAGGACCAAAATGGCAGGGACCTAACAGAGGCAGGAGAGATTAAGAAGAGGTGGCAAGATTACACGGAGGAACTATACAAGAAAGAGCTTAACGTCCCTGATAACTACTATGGGGTGGTCACTGACCTTGAGCCAGACATCCTGGAATGTGAAGTCAAATGGGTCTTAGGAAGTCTGAACAACAACAAAGCTAGTGGATGTTACAGTATTCCAGCTGAACTATTCAAAATCTTAAAAGACAATGCAGTAAAAGTGCTACACTCAATATGCCAGCAAATTTGGAAAACTCAACAGTGGCCACAGGATTGGAAAAGGTCAGTTTACATTCTGATCCCAAAGAAGGGCAATGCCAAAGAATGTTCAAACTACCACACCATTGCACTCATTTCACATGCTAGCAAAGTTATGCTCAAAATCCTACAAGCTAGGCTCCAGCAGTATGTGGCCCGAGAACTACCAGAAGTACAGGCAGGATTTCAAAGAGGGAGAAGAACTAGAGATCAAATTGCCAACATATGCTGGATCATGGAGAAAGCTAGGGAGTTCCAGAAAAACATCTACTTCTGCTTCGTTGACTATGCTAAAGACCTGGATTGTGTGGATCACAACAAATTGTGGCAAGTTCTTAAAGAGATGGGAGTCCCAGACCGTCTTATTTGTCTCTTGAGAAACCTATATGTGAGTCAAGAACCAACAGTGATAACTTGACATGGAACCACTGATTGGTTCAAAATTGAGAAAGGAGTTTGGCAAGGCTGTATACTGTTGCCCTGCCTATTTAACTTATATGCAGAGCACATCATGAGAAAGGCGGAGCTAGATGAGTCACCAGTTGGAATTAAGATTGCTGGGAGAAGTAACAACTTCAGATATGCAGATGATACCACTCTCATGGCAGAAAGTGAGGAGGAACTGAAGAGCCTCTTGATGCAGGTGAAGGAGGAGAGTGCAAAAGTTGGCTTGAAACTCAACATTAAGAAAACTAAGATCATGGCATCTGGTCCTCTCACTTCCTGGCAAATAGATGGGGAAGAAATGGAGGTAGTGACAGATTTTATTTTCCTGGGCTCCAAGATCACCGCAGACGGGGACTGCAGCCAAGAAATTAAAAGATGCTTGCTCTTGGGGAGGAAAGCTATGGCAAATCTAGACAGCATACTAAAAAGCAGAGACATCATCCTGCCAACAAAAGTGTGTATAGTCAAGGCTATGTTTTTCCCAGTTGCAATGTATGGCTGTGAAAGCTGGACCATAAGGAAGGCTGAGCGCCTAAGGATTGAGGCCTTTGAATTGTGGTGCTGGAGAAGACTCTTGCAAGTCCCTTGGACCACAAGGCAATCAAACCGGTCAGTCCTAGAGGTGATCAACCCTGACTGCTCTTTAGAAGGCCAGATCCTGAAGATGAAACTCAAATACTTGGTCATCTAATGAGAAGGAAGAACTCCCTGGAGAAGAGCCTAATTCTGGGAACAATAGATGGCAAAAGAAGAAGGGGATGGCAGAGGATGAGGTAGCTAGATGGAATCACTGAAGCAGTTGGCGTGAGCTTAAGTGGACTCCGGGGGATGGTGGAGGACAGGAAGGCCTGGAGGAATGTTGCCCATGGTGTCGCGATGGGTCGGAAACGACTTTGTGACTAACAACAACAACAATCACCAAATAGATTAGCAAAAATGTTTTCAAATATGTCAAATAGGTGTTGGAAATGTAATAAAAAACCTGGTACTTTTGATCATATGTGGTGGACTTGTGATAAAGCAAAAAAATACTGGGTTAAAATACATAGTTGGCTTGGGACAAAGGCATGTAATCTTTAAGCCTGAATTATTTCTGTTAGGCACTTTACCTGATGATTTTGACAAACAAAGTATATCTTTGACTTTACATTTAATCACAGCGCCGAGGATTGTATTTGCACAACACTGGAGGAATGAGGAAATACCAACGGAAGAATCGATATTAAACAAGATATTGGATTGTACAAGATTGACTTTGTCTCTCAAGGGGAAAGAAGAAACATACTATTACCAAACTTGGGACTTCTTTTATCAATGGCTAGAGAAGTGGGATTACACTTGGGGCTGAAATATATAGTAATTGTAGAGAATAAGATAATAATCCAGTAAGTCCGATGTCTTTTAAATGATGGTTTGTTTTATTTGTAGAAAAACAATAACATTTTTTTTTAAAAAAAGAAAAGTTTCCTCACTGTCAGAACTATATGACAGTGGAACCAGTTGCCTAGAAAGGTCATGGACTCTCTCACCCTAGAGACCTTCAAGGTGAAATTGGACAGTCATCTGAGTGGGATGGTATAAATTGGTGTCCTGCACCAACAGGGTGTTGGACCTAATGCCCTTCATGGCTCTTTCCAACTCTACTATTCTACAATTCTATGATCAACTTGGCGCCAGGCAGGAAAGAGCTAGAACCCTTCCCGCAGTCAAGAAATGGCCTAGTCATTTCCATTTCTGCAGAAGAAAAAATGCAAGAAGAGTTTTGGGAGTTAATTTAACTAACTGTGTGATGTGTCATATTAGCTGGTGGCCTTTAAGGTAGAGAATTTAAATTGGGACAAAGACTGTTTGGGGTATGCCATCACTGTAATTTCATGAAGTTAGGAGGACGTCTGAACATTGCAACCAATGATGCATAATAGTACTAGAACATAGAATAGCTTCCTGTTACTACTGTACTTATCTGTGCACTAGAAAGGTGAAATGCTTGCAGCCCTTTGGCCATAAGAACAGTAACTCTGAATGGAGAGAACAGGAATTTATGCTACATTAGATGATTCTGTGGACATTTCATTTGCTGTGTCACACTTCACCTAAACAGAAAAGGGATACATTGTTATATATGTTGTTGTTCAGCTCTTCAGTCTGACTATAAGTGATCCTATGGGCCAAATCTCACCAATCTTTCCAATCCTGTGCCACCTCTTTCAGCTGAACTACCCTCTGGCCACATCCTCTTAGATGGAGTCTAGCCACCTTGCTCTTTGGCAACTTGCTTTTCTCTTGCTGCTGAGCAGTCCAAGCATTATATCTTTTTCTAATGCGCTTGATCTCATAACGTGGCCAAAATGCATGAGTCTCAGCTTTGTTATCTTGCTGACCAGGGACGCATCTGCTCCAGCACCTCCTTGTTTGTGTCTCCCACTTGTTTGTGTCTCCCGCACAGGAGCCTATGTCAACACCACAGTTCAAATGAGTCAATTTCTCTCTTGTCTAGCATTTTCATTGTCCAACTTTCATAACCATAGGTTGCAATAGGAAAAATGACCACTTGGACCAATCTGCACTCACTTGTTCAGCTGATGTTCTTGTTTTTCCACATTCAGTTCATGCTTGTTGTTGCCTTACGACCTAGTAAAATTTGTTGCTTTATTTCTGGACTGCATTCACCACTGTGAGTAATCAGTGATCCCAGGAAAGTGAATTTTTCCTCCACATTTCCTCCACATTCAATTTCCACATTATCAACTGCTATCTTGATTACTTCATTCTGTGCATTTGTCAAGATCTTCATCTTTTGGATGTTCAGGAGGAGGCTGAACTTCTCACTCTCTTCTTTGATTCTTTGCATCAATTGCATTAGACCTTCCTGGGTTTCTGAGAGGAAGGTCCTGTCATCAGCATACTGGAGGTTGTTGATGGTTCTCCCTCCAATCTTTATCCCGACTTTTGATTCTTGAAGATCCATCTTTCTCATGATTGCTTCAGCAACAAGTTGAACAGAAAAGGGGAGAGAATATATCCTTATCGGACTCCTTCTCAACCCTGAACCAATCCATGTCCCCATATGGTGTTCTTACAAGTTGCTTGCTGGTTTGTATATAGTGACTGCAGCAACCTGACCAGATGTGTTGGTACGCACAGGACTTATAGTGCTTTCCACAACTTTATTTATTTATTTAGAAAATTTCTATGCTGCCCCATTCGCTGAAGCCTTGGGGTGGCTCACAAATATATCAATTAAAATGTTATACAATAAAAATATAAAACAAGTTATCAATGTAAAATAAGTTGCCCTGGCCAAAGAATAAAATAAATAAATAGTATTAACAGTTAAAATGACATTTGAATAAAAAGGTTTTCGCCTGGCACTGAAAAACAAATAACGACGGCGCCAGGTGGACCTCTCTGGGGAGCGCATTCCATAGATTGGGCGCCACCACAGAGAAAGCCCTCCTCCGAGTACTTACCCTCCTAATTTCCTTCATGGAGGGTTCCTGGAGAAGGGCCTCTCCCACAGATCTCAAGGGGGTGGGTGGGCATATATGGGCGTAAGCGCTCCTTCAGGTAACCAGGACCCAAGCCATTTAGGGCTTTATAGGTCATCACCAACACCTTGAATTGGGCCCGGACTTCAATGGGAAGCCAGTGAAGCTGACAGAGGACTGGAGTCATGTGAACATAACGCCCAGTCCCTGTCAGCAGCCTGGCAGCTCTATTTTGAACCAATTGAAGTATCCGGACCGTCTTCAAGGGTAGCCTCACTTAGAGCATGTTACAGAAGTCAAGGCGGGAAGTCACCAACGCGTGTGTCACTGTCGCCAGACAGTCATACTCCAGGTAGGGGTGCAGCTGATGGATCAGCCGAAGCTGAAGGAAAGCGCGCCTCACCACTGCTGTCACCTGAGCTTCCAATGAAAGCTCTGGGTCAAGGAACACTCCCAAGCTGCGAACCTTGTCCCTAAGAGGGAGTGCAACCCCATTCAGGACTAGGTTCAATTCACCCTCACCGAAGCCCGATCCGCCAACCAACAGGACCTCCGTCTTGTCTGGATTGAGCTTCAGTTTATTGGCCCTCATCCAGCCCATTACCTCGGCCAGGCACCGGTTAAGCACAGCCACTGCCTCACCCGGATTGGTGGAAAATGAGAGGTAGAGCTGGGTATCATCAGCATACTGATGATTCCGCAGCCCACACCTCCTGATGACCTCTCCCAGCGGTTTCATGTAGATGTTAAACAGCAAAGGGGACAAAATGGGCCCCTGCGCTACTCCATGGCATAGCTGCCATGGCGCAGAGCCATAGTCCCCCAGCACCACCTTCTGGAATCGGTCATTGAGATAGGAGCGGAACCACTGCAAAGCAGTGCCTCTGACCCCCAATCCCGCTAGCCTATCCAGAAGGATACCATGGTCGATGGTATCGAAAGCTGCTGAGAGGTCCAGAAGAACCAACAGGGATGCACTCCTCCTGTCCTTCTCCCCGCACAGGTCATCGTACAGGGCGACCAAGGCAGATTCAGTACCATACCTGGGTCTGAAGCCGGACTGAAATGGGTCCAGAGAATCAGTTTCATCCAAGAGTGCTTGGAGTTGTCCCGCCACCACCCGCTCCAACATCTTGCCCAGAAACGGGATGTTGGCCACTGGTCTATAATTAGTGGCCATCTCTGGATCCAGTGACGCTTTCTTTAGGACCGGTCGGACTACCGCCTCCTTTAAAGGGGCAGGCACCCGACCCTCCCTCAGAGAAGCGTTAACCACTTCCAAGATACAGATCCCAATCCTGTGCTTGGAGTTATTTATTAACCAAGACGGGCAAGGGTCCAGTAGGCAAGTGGTGGGACTTACTCGTCCAAGCACCTTGTCCACATCATCAGGCCACAATAACTGAAATTCATCCATTAATTTTGTACCAGACAGTGGCATTGGTATCTCCCCAGAAACCTCTGAGTCTCTAGAAGAGTCTAGCTCGTGACGAATCTGAGTGATTTTCTCCCTGAAATGCTTGGCAAAGTCATCACAGTGGGCCTTCGAGGGTGGAACCAGATCTTTCTTGGGACCTGGATGAACCAGGCCTTGCACCACTCGCCGGACGGCATTTTGAGGAGGCAATGGAAACGGAAAAGAATTTGTTTTTCACTGCCCTCACCGCCACAGCATAGGCCCGATAATGGGCTCTCAAGTGTGTTCAGTCAGATTCATCCCGTGATCTCCTCCACCTACGCTCTAGCCGTCTCCCAGCCTGCTTCATCGCCCGCAATTCAGGTGTATACCAGGGGGAAGAGTGGGCTCTGCCCAGCGGGAGAGGATGCTTAGGAGCGATCGTGTCAACAGCCCTGGTCATCTCCCAGTTCCACAGTTCGACCAGAGCCTCGACAGGAGCACCAGTCTTGTCAGCCGGAAACTCCCCCAGGGCCTTCAGGAATCCATCTGGATCCATCCGGCTCCGGGGGTGGACCTGCACAATCAGGTCCGCACCCTTACAGAGGGAGAGACTGCTCTCGAGCACAAACCTCACCAGGAAGTGATCTGACCATGACAGGGGTGCCAGACATAAATTTCTTACCCTCAGACCACCCTCTTCCTGCCCCGTCAAGAAAACCAGGTCCAGAGTGTGTCCACGCTCATGGGTCGGGCCGGTGACATATTGAGACAGCCCCATGGCCATCTTGGAGGCCATGAAGTCCTGAGCTGCCCTGGTCAGACCAGTCTCAGCATGGAGATTGAAGTCCCCCAGGACCAACATCCTGGGGGTCCTCAACACCAGGTCCGAGACGATCTCCGTCAGCTCAGGCAGGGAGACTGTTGGGCATAAGGGTGCACGGTACACCAACAGAATCCCCAGTCTGTCTCAGTCGCCCAATACCAAGTAGAGGCACTTGAAGGGACTGGAAGTCCCGTGAGGGAGATGGAGGCTCGGTAAACCAAAGCGACCCCCCTCCCCTCCGGGCATGAACGGTGCTGAACCAGATACCCGGGCAGGCACATTTGAGAGAGGGCGACATCCCTCCCCTCCCGCCCAGGTCTCCGTTTTGCAAGCCAGGTCGGCCCCCTCATCCACAATCAAGTCATGGATGAGGGAAGAATTATTGTGGACCAACCTGGCATTGAGCAGCAGCACCGTCAGGCCCGAGGGGCGGTTGACAAGACTACCTGGAACCCTCTGGCTGGGGGCAAAACCAGAAGGAGGAGCAGGTGTCAGCCATCTGTCCCTCCTTCTTCTACATGGACACGTTAAGCCCCCACCGCTGTAACGTCCATTGCCCATGACCACCCCAATGGCAGTGCCCACGCGCTCCCCAAGAAACACAGATGTCGACATGGCCAGGGACGACTCCATAAAAACAAATTAAAATACAATAAAATTATAAAAACAATCAAAAACTCCCCATTTCCCCCCAATACAAAATTAAACTTCCCCCAACCAACCTAGTCCCCCACCAGCCCAGTCTCGCACGGCCACAAATGGCCACAAATGGCAGCACCGCCCTTTGGCTGTCGCCCTTCGGCCGCCGGCCAGAGGCCACTGGCCCCAGGCCGTGTCTGGCGAGTTAAGCCGGCGCCCGCCCGCACACCCCGCCCCAATCCGGCGTCGTTCTTACTGGCACCGGCAGGGGGGAGCAGGGAGGTGCGCGGAAACCTGTCCAGCAGCAAGATGGCGGTGCCCTCCTCTGTGCCATCGGCGGCGGGCCTGGCATGGCCCTGGTGTCCTCCGTGCCCGGGTGGCCCAGCGATGGCCGTGGGAGCGGTGTCAGCTGGCCCCCGGCTTGGCGGTGTGCCCCAGTCTGGTGGCAGCGACAGCGACAGCGTGGCGCAGCAGGTGGTCTGAGCCGCGGAGCATGGCAGATGTTCGGGGGGGAGGGAGCTCCAAGCCCGCCCAGCCCCAGGCCACGTCCGGCGGGTTAAGCTGGTGCCCACCTGCGCGCCCCGCCCCAATCCGGCATCGCTCTCACCGGCACCGGTGGGGGGTGAGCAGGGAGGGGCGCAGAAACCCGTCCGGTGGCAAGATGGCGGCGCCCTCCTCCGCTCTGTCAGCGGCGGGCCTGGCATGGCCCTGGCGTCCTCCGTGCCTGGGTGGCCCAGAGATGGCCGCGGGAGCGGCGTCAGCTGGCCCCCGGCTTGGCGGTGCGCCCCAGTCCGGCGGTGGCTGCAGCGACGGCGACAGCGCGGCGCAGCGCGGCAGGTGGTCCGAGCCACAGAGCGCGGCGGATGTTCGTGGGGGGAGGGAGCTCCAAGCCCCCTTGTCATGATCAATGCAGTCAAGGGCTTTCATGTAGACAAAACAGCACAGGTAAATGTTCTTTTGATATTCTTGAGATTTCTCCATAATCCAGGACAAATTTGCCATATGGTTTCAAGTGTCCTGGCCTCTTCGGAAGCCTGTTTGGACTTCAGGTAGTTTCCTTTCTATGATAGATGCCAGTTGTAGAGTTTTAAGGAGAATTTTGCTAGCATGAGGTATGAGGACAATTGTGCAGTAGTTAGAACAGTCCTTTGAGTCATCTTTTTTTGGAATGTGAATGAAGATTGAGTGCTTTCAATTCCCTAACCATGTGTTGGTTTCCCAGATTTTATGGCACAAGGCTGTAATGGTTCTGATTGGTTCATGCTGCAGCACTGCAGGGATGTTGTCAATGCCTGGTGCTTTGCTGTTTTGTAGCTTACTTATTGCCCATGCAACTTCTTCCTCAAGAATTGCTGGTTCTATTTCTATGCTGGTTTCATTTATCGCATTATCCTGATGCAGTTCAATCCCACTGCTTTTGGTGTATAGATCTTCAGTGTATTCTTGCCATTTGTTCTTGATGTTTTGTTGATTAGACAGTTCTTTCCCTTCTTTGTTTTTTATGATTGCTTTGCATGTACTAAAAGCTATTCAAATTTGTTTAACTTGTGCATATGTGTTCCTGATATAACCCTTCTTTCAGTCCTCTTTCTAGCTGTGCATTTTCTGATCCCAGTAAATTTCATTGTCTTTCCTGGCTACCCTCTGGCATTTAGTTTCTTTGCTTCCTCCTGATCACCCGCTGCTTTGGCTATTTTTCTTCAATTAGCTATCTTGAATGTTTCATCTGAAATCCACCTGGATCTTGTCTATGGCTTCATATATGGTAATAAGTTTAACAGCCTCCTCAATAATGTTCAATTGAATGTCCTGCCATAATTCGTCATAGTTCCAGCCAACATTTCAGACCTGTTCTTTATCTTGACTGCATACATGGGTGCAATTTTGGTGGTGTCAAACTTCTTGGATTTTGTTATGTTTTTGGTGTTAGGTAATTTCACTTTGATTTTGGCCACCAATAATTCATGATCTGAGCCACAGTCAGCACCTGGACATGTTTTCATGGCATAGATCGTATTAGTCCAATGATGGTTGCAAGAGACATAGTCTATTTGTTTTCTGTGTAGCCCATTTGGTGAAGTCCAAGTATACAAGCAAAGTTTGTGCTCATAATTCATAAAATAATTTTAATGGCAGAATTGTATCAAATGATCTCTTGTGTTATTTCTGTCCCCTAGTCCAAAATCACCAGTGATGCCTGCCTCTGCTTGAGTGCCAACTTTTGCATTGAAATCACCCATTATATAAACAATGTCTTTTGCTGGCACTTGTTCTAGAGTTTTTTGGATACTGGAATAAAAACCCTCTATTTCTAGTTCTGTTGCATCAGTTGTTGGAGCATAGACTTGAAAACTGTGATGTGAAGAGGCTTGGCTTGAATTCGAATGGTCATTATATGATGACTCACTGTTGAAAAGTGTTGTTATACATAGCTCAGTCTTTATTTTTTATACTTATATCCCACTGTGAACAGCTCCATGATGGAATTTTAGGTGGTATACATGAGGGCCTCCCACATGGTCTCCTGTTCAGGACCTGACCAGGCCCAGATCTGCACTGATTCAGTGATCAGTGCCCTCAGACCATTTTCTGCTCCTAATTTATACCAGCTCAGGGACAAAGTTTTGAATTAATACACAGTTCTGAGGGACTCTTAAGACTGGATAAAACCAAATGGGCTTTGATCCAGCAGAGACATCTGTAGTTGAAAGGGAAAAGGGAGGCAACTTACAAAAATTCTTTCTTTCCTCTGCAGCCCTCTCTACTCACTCTTTATCTATAGTAAATTGCTAACTTTTAATAAGTCAGCACACAAAAGTCAATGCACTTTGCAAAGAAAATGACTAATTATAGACAATTTAACTAGTTGGTACAAAAATGCTTGGGGAATGGGAAGCATGCATTCTGGACCACTACAACAGGCCAGCCAGTAAAATAAAGGCTATATACAAGCCAGGCTTAATGAATGCCCTATTTTGCATTCATACAGTTCAGAAGCAAGGGATCTAATCAAAAATATAACTTAATCAGGACTCAAAAATGTATGCTAATGGAAAAAGGTCAGAAAAAATATTGGATGGTCACATGGAATTATTAATGAATTCTGCTGTTTCTATCTATAATGTTTTATGTAATTACAAAAATAACTGGACAGTTTTGGAATCCTCATGTACGGATTCTTCCTCCAAATGGATGGTCTGGCACATTACAATGGATCAGGTTCTTCCCACAGTTATACTGTTGGAGATATGTACTTTATAAGGTCATGTCTATTACATTTTTAATCCATTTGCTCATGCTAAATTTACTGCAGAGGGAAATCCAGGTGTAAAAATACATATGAAAATGTTTCTGTGGCAGATTTGGACAGATAAACTGTTGTGCAGCAGCAGCAACTCACATCTGGCAGTCTGCAAAATACAAAATCTATCACTACAATATTTTGCTTGTTATTTTAGGAAGATAGAAGTTTTGTTCTTTTTAGCCTTTTACTACTACCCATCAAAGTTAGCAGATGTTTGAGTGTGAATTCCTGTAAGGGCCCAACCAGTAATTCAAGTATTTCCTTTTTCTGACAGATAGAACTGATTTCAAACACTGGCGGGGTTCAGACAATGCAACAAACCATAGTGGCTTTTAACCAGTGATGGTCTGCTGTGTAGTCTTAAGCTAATCATGGTAATTCTTTATAGTAAGCTTGGTCTTTAGAGACTCTGAAAAGAAACAATGGTTTATTCTATGTTTCTCTATACCACCATGGCTTGCTATGTTGTCTGAACCTGAAGAACAGGTTGTCTGAACCACAAAGTCCTCTAGAAAGTTCAGCAAATGGAGGACCAGCTCCAGGCATCCAGCCTTTATGTGTGGACCAATGAAGAAGAGGCGGAGATGGTAGAGACAGGGAATGAAGTACCTTAGAATTGAATTTCACGCATAATGGCTGGTGGAATATGTGCCAACAGAAGGAGGACTGAGTGGGAAGAAAGGAAACCATGATAAAGTAGAAACCACTTAATTGTCTGTTGGGTTGATGATGGTTAAAAAAAAACATGAACCATGATAACTATGCAGGATTGCTTGTGTTGTGTGAAAATAACTACTGCCCATCACCATTGATGAAGGGCAGACCAGAGTTTTCTCCCTGCCAGATGTGCCCATACATGGGCATGGATGGTTCCATGACCTTGACAGACAAGACTGTTAGCACTTCTTTACATTCCTGTAAAGGGTGCTAAAAGGGTAGGGGGTCCCCCCCTCAGTGCTTCATTTTGCCTACTTTGAGCACAGAGACCTGTTTCTGCAGAATAAAGCTTTTTTCACCTCACATCCTAGAGTGCTTGATTGGCTATTCTGCACACCAGAACTCAATCCCACTTTTGTTGACAACTCTGGTTTCTTGTCTCTCAATGATAGTGGGTCTCACTATTTCATGTTCAATATTAGTAAAAACAACCCCCACCCAATCTTGCCAGATGATAGTTTGATAGGGCTCGATAAGATGTTCATTAATCAGCGATAGGAATCAGAAAGATTATTCTACTAGCCATGAAAGTGAGGATAAACATGTGCTTATTTTCCTTTTTCCTGGACTGAGTGGGAGGTGGGAAAGAGACCTGACACCATTAGTCAAACTAATTGAAACAAGGACAATTTGAACAACTCACTATTTATAAAATCTGATCCAGACATTTCCAACAAATAGGCACACTGGAGCTTAGTTATTGAGCTGATGCATTTGAGAGAAAATACACATTTAAAGATGTTTCTTTAAAGTCACATTCAATATAGAAAAAAGAGGGATGAAATTGTGGTTAAAATATAGGAAAATGGCACACAGTCAAAAGTTAAATGAATACATAATTTAAAAAAATAAAATGTGGATATCTCTTTTCTGGAGAGTATCTGGCAACATTGAACAGAATAGTCTTGGGGTGGAAGGTATAATTGGGACATTATTCTGTTACCTTGAATGACATTATGGTCCTGGTGATATGAAATTGTCTTAGAATATTGATACTGTCATACCTACTTCAAGCAAAACTTATGAGGTATACATAATTTATTGTGGCCTCATATTATTTGTTTTCTTATATGCATGTAAGCATATTACATGTTTTAGTCACATATTATATGTTTTGTCACTTGTTACATTTCCTAAGCCAAGAATTCATCTCCAATCACAAATAATACTTCAAATCTGTGTATTTTCTCACATCAAGGGAAATATGTCTGTTCTAGCTATGTCTGATCTCATGTGACATTGCTAGTTATACTGATATAAAATATTTAAGCCACATTGCATCTCTACAGAGCAATTTTATTGGAAGAGTACAAAATTTTGCTCTACAGTGCAAACTGGAAGAGTATGCAGCTTGGTTCTTTCTGCACTGCCTGTGTTTTGTTTTTGGATTTTTTGGATTTTTTGGTTTTTGTTTATTGTTTTTTGGGGGTTCTGCACATTAGAAATCTGAGCTCCATAGTTG